CTGTACCGTGACCTCGAGGTCCCCCCGCCCCGCCCGGGGCCCGATCGGCCTTCGCCCACCAAACTCCGGCCCCCACCTTCTCGCCCTGGGAAACTTGAGAAAATTCTAACACGTGGGTGGAGGCTTCAGAAGGCGGACGGCGCCTGACCCCGATGCCCGGAGCCCGAGCCCAATGCCCAGAGCCCCGAGCCGGATGACGGGGTGCTGGGCCCGCGAGGCGCGCCCGAGACCTGAAGGCCCCTGCGCTTGGCAGGTTCTAAGACTCACGCGTGGCCGACAGACAGACCCCGGCCACGCCTGCGTACCCCGCCCACGCCGAGTATCCCGCCCCACAGCCGAGCACCCCGCCCCACAGCCGAGCACCCCGCCCACGCCGAGTACCCCACCCCACCCCTGTGTACCCCACCCCATGCTGTGTCCTCTGCCTGTGTACCCTGCCCCACACCCATGTCACCCCCACCCCGTGTCACCCCCACCCCGTGTCGCCCTACCCCCCCATCCTGTGTCACCTCACCCCCAGGCCGTGTCCAGGCCAAGTCATCAGCTGCTGCCCAGCGGCAATGAGTCTGAGGGTCGTCATTAGCCACTGAACATAACCACTAATCACTGTTTCTAAAGCCGGCATGACACGGCTGTGGCTGTGGGAGCGAACCTTCCTACACGCTAGGCCCCTCCTGCCGGCTCAGGACACCCAGTGTGGTTCCCACGGACGTCAGCTGTTTCTCTTTTCTTGGTGGTGGTACTGGATTTTTAACTCAGGGCCTTCTCCTTAGTGGGCACTTTTACCACTGAGCCATACCTCCAGCTCAGGGTTTGCCTCTGCCAGGCACAGTCTGCTTGTATAAGGTTAGCTGGGCCCCCCTGTCCAGCTCAACTTGGAAGCTGGGTGGTAAGAACTGTTGTGTCTGGTTGGGCACCTGTGGCTCAGGCCTGTAATTCCACTTACCTAGAAGCCCGAGATTGGTTCAGAGCCAGCCCAGGCAGGAAAATCGGAGACTCCTATCTTCAATGAGCCACCCAAAAACCTGATGTAGAGCAGTGACTGAAGAGGTAGAGCACCAGCCCTGAATGAATGAAAACTCTAAAGAAGGGTGCCCAGGTCTTGAGTGTCAGCCCTAATAGTGGTACAAAACAAAACCCACTCAAAGAATAAGTTTTCAGTGTCCTATGTATGGAGTGAGACAGTATGAAACCATGTAGGAAATGTAAGTCTTCTTCCCAAAAAAGAAACCCCCCCTCTCACTACTCTACCTCCATCTCCCTCTACCTCCCCTTCTCTCTCCCTTTCTTCTCTCTTTGTGCTAGTATTGGAGCTTGAACTCCAGGATGACAGGCATGGGCCACAGTACCTGGCTAAGTGCTTTGGGGACACAGCTTGTGAGCCACCCTGTCTTGTCACGCAGGAGTTTCACTGTAGGAGATGGGGGGTCCTCTTTTGGGTTGTCTAGGCCCCTTGGACTCAATTTTTTTTCTCCCAGTCCCCTAGTGCTTGTCAGTTCAAAACTGACCTTGTAAGTGAGAGTTCAAGCTGCAGTGTCCGTTCTATTGTTCAGTTCCCTTTGTGGTTTGGAACAATCGACGCATGTTGCCTGCCCTCGTGTGGTGTAAATACACCATTCTGGTCATTGCCACATTGCTAGATACTCTCCCCAGGGAAGAACCCAGGTTCTGAATCTCAGCTCTCAAAGTTCAAGCCCTGACCATAGCACTTAATGCTGTTTGGACCTTGGTTTCCTGAATTGCGCTGTGAAATTATTTGTGCCAAAATGCAAAAAGAAAAATGTTAGCTTCAAGATAGAATTAAAAACAAGCAGAGCAAACCTGTCCAAATTCTGTATGGTTATAAAAAAAATGAAGTTAACCGAGTAATGCAGCTGGTATGTATATACCGAGCAGGGGCTGTGTCTGTCTACCCCCCCCCCTCATTTTCTTCCTTCCCAGCCCAGGTCCCTTAATTACTTAATGACTTTAGGCAGAGCTGTTGATGTTTTTATAGCTTCCTTTTCTTGAAGGCTAACGTGTGTGGACCACTATCATTATCACAGCCTATCATTTCCGCCATGGTTTTCAGTCACTGTTTGTCTTCTGTGTGGGACTCAGGTGTGTTTCGTGTGTGAGAACCTGGCCGCAGGGGGCTTGTGTCTGCCCCTGCACCTCCGCTGTGCTTTTCGTAAGGGTGGTGAAGAGCTTTCTCCCTGGCACATTGGCCTGGGCATTCCAGAATGTGAGACACTGCTCCCAGACAGAAGTGCCCTGTGCCTCTGCCCCCATCTGGTGCCATGACCGTTAGTGTGGTGTGGTTTGGGGCTTGAACTCTGGACCTTGTGCTCTTGCTTGGACTTTTCTGCTCAAGGTTGGCGTTCTTCCTCTTGAGCCACAGTTCCACTTTCAGTTTTCTGGTGGCTCACTGGAGATGAGTCACATGGACTTTCCTACCCGTGCTGGCTTCAAACCGTCATCCTCAGATGTCAGCCTCCCGAGTAGCTAGGATGACAGGTGTGAGCTACCGTGGCTGGCTCGCAGCCTTCGTTTGGATGTTAAAAGGCGAGCTGGATTTCTGGGGAAGGAGCCAGAGCACGAAGGCTGCAGAGAGCTCTGCTGCCTGGCCTGAAGCTGGTTGTCTGCCAGGGGTAAAGCCAGGGAAAAGCAGCCAAGCCTGGAGCGGAAGGGAAGCAAGACTGGAAAGTGCTAGAAGCTCATTGAAAATGCTGATGAGAGTATTGGGAGACAGGAGGGTGGTGTGAGTCCTCCAGCCGTGTGGGGCTCAGCCCCCCAGACCTCAGCCCCAAGACCTCAGTCCTCAGCCCCCAAGGCCTCACCCGGGGAGACAGAGGCTTTTCCCCCGGTGCCTGTTGCATCTCGAGTATATTTCGAGCCCCTCCTTATAATGGGCTCCAAGGTTAAGCAGCGCTGCTGTAGTGACAGCTGCGAGAGCGGGACCTGTGGCCCAGACTCGCGTGCTGTGCCCTGCCTAGACGGCGGGCTGAGCCGGCAGGCAGGGCTGCGCTGTTGGCCGCTGCTTTCCAGGCTTTTCTCTCCGCCAGGGACAAGAACATGGCCCACTTTGCTGTGGGCGTGGGTGACGGGGGCTTGAACTCCAGACCTTGTGCCATCCCTTGGCTTTTCCACTACTTGAGCTATGCCTCCATTTCCAGCTTTTTGTGAGTTAACTGGAAAAGAGTCTCACAGACTTTCCTACCCCAGCTGGCTTTGAACTCAATCCTCAGATCTCAGCCTCAGTCAAAAGGATTACAGATGTGGGCACCTGCATTGACTTTCTGAGGGCCCGGTGGGCGTGTGCTGCCCCTGCCATCCTGACACTCAAATGGGGCTTCAAAGAGGCTAAGCCCTTTGACCTCAGAGCCAGGAGGTGCATGGAGGGGGGGGGGGGTGGATGGAAGCCTGTGGCTCATGAATTCACCCCCAGTTTACTGGCAGTCACACTGTGGCTCCAGAGACCAGTGGCTCATCCCAGGTGAAGACTGATGGGTGGGGTCTGGCGCCCAGGCACCCCACATGCTCTACTGGCAGAGACAGTTAAATAACAAGCATGCCCCTTCCTCATGAAGGCTGTAGCAGAATGGGCCAAGGGGGGGGCGGCTGTGGTCACCTCACCTGCTGCTCTTCTCTTTGAAGACAGTTGCTGGGGCTGGCCTCCTGAGAGGGGCGGGGCTGACACCTGCAAGTCTTTTGTTTTCTCAGCTTCCTGGGGGCTTCAAGGAAAGACAGGAAAGTGGGGGCTGGGAAATAGAAACTTGTGATCTGTTTTCTACCACAATCACAGGATCCTCAGATCTCAGCCTCCAGAATAGCTGGGGTTGTAAACTGGAGCCCCGTGCCCGGCTTCAGTGTCTTTTTATTGCAAAGCATCATCTCAGCAAAGTGTGAGAAAGGACCCGGCATCTGGGCTGCCGGTGCTCGCTCTGTCCATTCCTCCTGCTCTCCCTGCTGCCTGTATCTGTGCCTGAGTCCTGCTTTCAACCTTCTGAACCCATGAAAATCTCTTTTCCTTACACCATCATTTTATATAAGTAGTTGATTTCTTGAGGTATGTTTTCCTTATCTCTTCCTTAGTGGAGGGGGTGGGAATTTATATTATTTCCATGTTTTTGTTATTATAGGCAATGAGGCAACACTTCTGTTAGATTTTTAAAAAGAGATAGCCGAGTAAGAACAGCAGCACGCACGTGGTATTCAGGTAAGGGATAGGTTTATTCAGCAGACCTGCTGGGACCAGGCAAGGTTGGCACTCCACACGGCTGGCAAAAGGTCTAGGAAAGAGAGAGAGCTGGGAAAGAGAGAGGAAAAAGCTAGAAAAGAGCAGAGAGAGAGCTAGAAAAGAGAAGGGAGCTGGGAAAGAGAAGAGAAGGAAAGAGCTGAGAAAGAACTAGAAAATTGCAGAGAGATCAGAGAAAGAGCAGAGAGAGATTAGAGAAAGAGCAGAGAGAGAGCAGAGAGAGCTAGAAAAGAGCAGAGAGCAGAGTGAGCAGAGAGAGAGCAGAGAGAGCTAGAAAAAAGAGACGGGAGCTGGGAAGAGAAGAGAAGGAAAAGCTAAGAGCCAGAAAAGAGCAGAGAGAGAGAAAGGTAGAAAAGAACAGAGAGAGAGAGTCTGGGCCTGTGCTAGGCCTTATCTAGGGTATGGGCGGAGAAGGGTGTGGCCACATCAAATTCAGATGTGACCTCAGCGGATGCAGATGTGACCTCTTCCAGGTGTCCCAGTTGCCTAGGTAACGCAGGTACTGGGCGGAGACTTTGCTGCGAGGAGGGTGGAGTCTGCTCACCATCCAGGAGCGGACCTTACAACTTCTTTTTTTTTTTTTTTCTTGAAGTTCTCAGTTAGTTTGTAGGAGTTTGGACTCTGGAATTAACAAGACTAAGAACTTTTGAATTGACTTTTGGGAAGGCTCACCACATCCCTTACACCTTACACATGGTTTCTCTGGGAGCTGTGCCTGGAGGGCCGATGCCAGTCTCCCCCACTGCCTCCCCCGCATTCCTGCTGTTGAGATGGGGTTTGGTGCTCAGCCCCCATCCAGTTTGCCAGATGCCCAGCGCGGCCTTGAGTTAGCATGGAGTGGTGGGCAGCTCCTCTGTGACCCCCTCAGCGTGCGAGGACTTGAGGCTGACCTCTCGCCTTTCTCCCCCTTTCTTAGGGTTTGCTCCCACGCGGCTTCCCTGGCTCCCCAAGGCCTCTGACACTTGTGGGGGCCACAGGCCCTACCTGAGGAAGACGCCCCTGGCCCTCCGTTGCTATGGATACGGAGTCCACCTACTCTGGGTACTCCTACTACTCAAGCCACTCCAAAAAGTCTCACCGACAGGGGTACGTACGCAGAGAGGGGTGCGAGTCTCTGGGGGACTGTGGGTTGGCTGCTTGAAAGGCCGAGCCCTGATGTCCTGCACGAGGAGGAGGCGCGGCGGTGCAGCTGAAGCTTTGAGAGCAAGTGCACCCCATTTCCATTTCATAGCTCCCGACGCCCTCGTTTCTCCCAGTTGCCTTTAAATGAGTCTCACGAGAGGTGGTCCTCATGTTCTAAGCAGTTCCCATACTCGTCCATGCCTCCCAGAGCTGCGCTAGGAAAGCCATTGCAAGTCAGAACCCCAGCAATGAAGCACTGCGTTTCATGGACCCACTGGCCCCGCAGGCATTGTCCCCCAACCCAGCCAGGACAAGCCTGGCCGGCCAGCCTGTCTTTTAGTGAGCAGGCCTGGTTTGGATAAGCTGTCCTGGTGGTGGACATCTGCCCCCTCCCTCTTGTGGAACCCACCTGCAGAGTGACAGGAGATGATGACACAGGTGGCGGGGGCCACACCTCTCTCTGCAGGGTTTTGTTAAAAGGATTTCATGAGGTTCTAACCAGCACCGAGGAGGCCACCAGACTCTGGCTCTGCTCCTGCTCATGATGGCCTTGCAGCCTCATGTTCAAAGATCCCCACTGCACTGCGCACAGTGGCTCACACCTGTAATCCCAGCTACTCAGGAGGCTGAGATCTGAGGATCGCAGTTTGAAGCCAGCTCAGAAAGATTTTTTTTTTTTTTTTGCCAGATCTGGGCCTGAGCACTGTCCCTAATGCTTTTATTTTTTATTTTTATTTTTTTTTGCTCAAGGACCACTTAAGCTACAGTGCCCTTCCAGCCTTTTCTGTGTATGTGGTGCTGAGGAATCAAACCCAGGGCTTTGTGTGTGAGAGGCAAGCACTCCCACTAGGCCACATTCCCAGACCCAAATCCATGAGATTCTTATCTCTAGCCAGCAAAAAGCCAGGAATGGAGGTGTGGTTCAAGTGGTAAAGTGTTAGTTTTAAATGAAAAAGCTAAGAGACAGCACTGGGACAACACCCAGGCCCGGAGTTCAAATCCCCCAGTCCTAGTGTGTGTGTGTGTGTGTGTGTGCGTGTGTGCATGTGTGCATGTGTGTGCACGCACACACGCACACGCGCGCGCACACACACACACACACACACACAGAGCAGTGGGATGTGGTAATCACCTTATACAGATAAGAAGCAGAGGCCTGTGGTCTCCTGCAGCTAAGGTAGAAGGTGGCCATGTCCGCTTTGGGGACTCCCTTTGGAAGGGAGTTGAGTGCCCGTGTACCCAGAGCATTGAGGAGGGGCAGGGCTGCCCTGTGCAGTCCGCCTGCCCATGGGGCCCCAGGAGGAAGCCAGCCCCGCCAGCCCTGTCAGCAGAGAGGACAGGCAGCAGGTGGAAGGCAGAGAAGGGAAGGGAGGGCTAACGGGTGGGGACAGCTCTCCCTAAATAGAAACAGATAACATAGAGCCAGGATAAATGGTCTCCCGGAAACCCTGACTGCTCAGGCCCAGGCTGGAAGTCCAGCCCTTGGGGATCCGTTCAGCGCCGGCTTGGGGGAAGCGAGGCCTGTGTGCAGTGAGGGCCTGGTGGTGTATGGTGACTGACTCGGAGAACATCCATGGAAAGCTCCTCGCCGCTGACACAGCTTCCCACCAAGGCACGCAGGCTGCCCTGACCATTTAGGCAAAGCTGTAAAACCACGAGTGTGCCTGTGTTTGTCACACCTGGTTCATTACCGGGGTTCACTTCCATACTCTCAGACAGGTTGTCTTTTGGGGGGATCCCTCATAGAGGGACTTCGTGGCTTGAGCTGTCCCTTGAGGTTACAAGATCTCAAGCCACGGGAAGGGGTATGGCAGCCACACTAACTTAACAGCCCTGTGACCTGAAAGGTACTGGGTGGGTACTGGATGGTGTGTGTGTGTGTGTGTGTCTGTGTGTGTGTGTCTGTGTGTGTGTGTGTGCGCTTGAACTCAGGGCCTAAGCTGTTTCTCTCAAGGCTGGTGCTCTACCACTTGGCCAAAGCTCTACTTCCAGCTTGCCTGTTAACTGGCTATACGAGTATCAAGGGACCCTCCTGCCCAAGCTGGCATCGAACCAGCTTCTCCTGTCTCAGCCTCTTGAGTAGCTGGGATTACTGGCGTGAACACCAGCACTGGGCTTAGATGGCAATTGATTTTAGGACCCTGCTCCGGAGGCATGGCTGCACTGAGACGCCCACCTGTGCCATCGTGGAGCAGCAGTGATTTTCCTCGGGACGCTGTGCCGTGTCTGGGTGGCATGCTGTATTGGGCGCGTGCCATGTACTGCCTCCGTGGCATGTAACCAGTGGCTTCTGTGGCCGACACATTTCCCTCACTGTGCAGAAAGCTCCTGGCTCTGAGCCACCCTTGTGATTGCGTGCTGCAGTTCACCCTTTATCCCGAAGCACTGTGCATGGTAGTGCTTTGGGGGCCACGCAGACACCAGTGCTCTTAGGACCAAGCCCTGTGTTGCACAGGGCAGGTGGGCAGGCCCCCGGGAAGGCTGCGCTCAACCCTTCGCCACGTGCTGCTGTGGTGTGGGGTCTCAGGATCATTTCCTGGACCCCTGCATGGAGCTTAGGGGAGATGGGACTCCCAGTATCCCCTGACAGGTGCTTGTGGGGACTCTCTCCACCTCAGTCTGCTCCTTGCGCCTGCGAGTCTAGCCAGGTACCAGAAGCACCCACTCAGGGGTTGTGGGTTCTGGGGTTACAAAAGCCTTCTCGGGTTGTCAGATGCAAGGCTGTGGTCTGCCTCCTCGAGGTGTCCTGCAGGACAGTTGTGGAACATCTGGGTGGTTGTGGGCCCTTCGGGAGCCTGGCTGGGGGTGGGGCAGGCGGCTCCAACCGCCTCTGCCCTGCAGGCGACACTGGAAAAGGACTTTGACTTCCGGTGGAATGTGTGCTGGTGCTCGGGAATGGCGGGGTGAGTGGGCAGGACAGTGGCCTGGCTGTGGATCAAGACACCTGGGGGAAGTGGAAATGAGCGAGGTAAGAGAGGGGCTGTCTGGCGGCCATGGGGCCTTGATCTGGACAATCAGGTCTAACTTGCCGTGAAGATGGAGCCAGCAGGAGGCTTGGCAGCCGAGCCTGTGGCCTGTGCTGGCTCTAGCAGCTCCACAGGTGCGAAGTGGGAAGATGGGAAATGTACTCTGTAAAGTCTGTCGTGGGGGAGGGGTGGGTAGGAGCTGAGCATTTGCCCAACGTGCTTAAGGCCCTGGGGTCCACCTCAACCCCCGAAGTCTTCAAAGAGACTGAACAGATGCACCAGTGGCAACAGACTTGAATTCAGATCCTCTCTTGCCACTTAGCACAGCTTGGGAAGTCACACAACCTCTGCGCCTCAGTTTCCTCATCTGGAAAGTGGGGACGATAAGACTGGCCTCCTATGGCCACTATTAGGAACGAATGAAGTTAGTAAAACTCTCATATTAAGTACTGGTAAAGTGCTAAGTACTGATCAGGTACTGAATAATAGTACAGTACTTAGTACTTGGTAAGTGTACCAAAAATTGGGGAAAGGGAAGGTATGGTGGGCGTTGTAAGTCACAGTTCTGTCCAGTTGTAAGTCACAGCTCTGTTCAGTTGCTGGGTTAGAACAAACACCAGACTTGAGCAGAGCACATCTGTTTCTCAGCATGTGGAAGGGATTGCTGGTCAGAGTGCCTCATGGCACCCAAGGGGGCCTTGGCTCTTCGGGGGACCATCCAGTGTCTGTCAGGGGGCTGGTGCCAGGCAGATACCTGCTCAGCAGCAGGTGGATGGGAGATACGTGTGGAAATCTGGGGTCCACAGTACTGATGACTCTTCTTATAGTGCGTATGCGTGCATGCTTGTGTAAGTGTGTGCACGTGCGAACATGCATGCTAGTACTGGGACTTGAACTTGGGGTCTGGATGCTCTTCTCTAGTATTTTCTGCTCAAAGTTGGTGTTCTACGACTTGAGCCACACCTCCACTTCTGGCCATTTGCTGGTCTCTTGGATTTGTCTGCCTATGTAGCTCTGAGCCACGCTCCTCAGATCTCAGCCTCCTGAGTAGCTAGGATAACAGGTGTGAGCCAGCAGGAGATCTGACTGTTTATAAAGCATGGTGCCCTTTGTCTCTGTGGAGGCCCTGGGTTGAAGGAAGGCAGTGTGGTTGATGTCACGAAGCTAGCCTGGCCCATGCAGGCCGGGACCCAGGGAACTCAGGGCCTCTGCTGCTTTCCTAGGGTTCACGGGTTTGCCACTGGCTACTGGGGACTGGGGAGCTGGGTCTTCCCATAGGGTCCTCTTGTCTGGACTGTGTATGAGCCCGTGTGGGCTGGGCCTCCAGGATGGGTGGCCCTTGTTTCCCACAGACCACCCAGAGAGTTCACCTGGGGTACAGATACACACACACTCCTCACACCCCTGTGTCATTTGTCCCTGCTTGCTTTGTTTCTGTGGGAGCCTCCAGGTTCAGCCAGGACCTAGAGGAATGGCTTTTCATTTTGAACTCTTGAGAATGAAAATGATTCTCCCTCCTGGTTTAGAATTTCCTTTTTCTTTTCTTGTCCAAAAGTGTAGGGTGACAGAGTGTCCCAGATTTTTTTTTTTTTTGGCTAGACCAAAGCTTACATATTATGCAGTGTTGACCCAATAAAAAAATTCAGTAGAAAATTAATTTAGGTGAGCTAGTGATATACCCTAGATACAGAAAGTCTAAAGTTTCCATTTTAAACTCAGAAAAAAAATGTGATCTCTCCTGTAGAGGAGGAGGAGGAAGGACAGGTTGGGGACAGTGGAAAGAAAGTGCTAATGAGAGAATGAAGACAGCCGACTGCAGGGTTGGAGATGAATAGCCGGGCTGTGTGCAGAGGTTTCCCAGATTCCAAACAAAAATTAGCAATACTTTTTGGTAAACCAGAGAATTCATTAACGTGGCTAATATGACAGACATTGTTTTCTTTCAGAGAAAGAACTAGAGAGAGACACAAATCACACAGAAATAAAGATGGTAGAGGGTCGGAAAAATCCGTCACCATTCAAGCGCCGCCTGGAGAGTCCCTGTTGGCAAACGACTCTACGCAGAACGAGGAAGTGCAGGTGAGGACGGAGGTGGACTGTGGGCACACCACCCGGGGCAGGCATCCGCTCTGCTGATGGTTTCCTCCGTCTTGTCGTGATAGGCTTTCTTGGGTTTTTAAGCTTTATGTTCCCAGCACGTCAGTTAGTGTATCTGTGCTCCTGCGGTTGCTCGTGGGTCTAAGGACAGCCTGGGTGTCATCTGGGAGCTTCGGCTCCTTGGAAGTAGGATTGCTTTGAGTCATTTGAAAGCAGAGCAAGGAAGGGAAAGTTGCAACCTGGTGACTGGTCCCTGGTCCCTGGAGACCCAATCCTAAAAGGACACTCTTAGAGAAGAAGGAAAGAAACTCCCTTTCCAGAAGGTCTGGGGAGTATCAGGAGGGAGAGAGAAGTTAGCCCGGCATGGTGGCTCACATCTGTAATCTTAGTTACTCAGGAAACTGAGATATGGGGATAGAGGTTCCGGGCCATCTCCAGCAGGAAAGTCTGTGACACTCTTATCTCTAGTTAACCAGCAAGAAGCTGAAAGTGGGGCTTAGCTCAAGTGGTAAAGTACTAGTCTTGAGCAAAAAAGTTAAAAGACAGCACCCAGGCCCTGAGTTCAAACCCCACTACTGGCACCAAAAAAGAAAAATTGGGTGGTAGAATTTTAGGTATAATGACCCAATTTGAAAATGTTGGCAGTTTTTTTTTTTTAATATTACGCAAGTTCTTCTCCGGGTCCCAATTGTCTGGCAGCTCCCTCGATTTAAATAAACATCTGTGCTGTACTGAGAGGCATGTTTACATATCCTAGCATTCTCCTGAACCGCACACATGCCCAGCCTTGCCCCCAGAACAAAGCGTGCCTGTGCAGCGTGAACATACAGGGTGACAGATAAGCCACTATCAGTGTGTTACAGCACACAGGTGGGCACAGACCACAAAGGCAGACAGAACACAGTGCCTCAGAGCACTCGAGTGCTCTGGGAACCAAAAACCAGATGAGCAGACATCTTTACTACTGTTTTGTTTTGCTTTGTTTTACTGTTTGCTTTAGTTCTATAAGAGTGGGTGGGTGGGTGGGTGGGTGGGTGGATGGTTAATGGGTGGGTAGATGGATTGATTGACGGATGGATGGATGGATGGATGGATGGATGGAGGAAGGACAGATTGATAATGGAGGGAGGATAGATGGAGGATGGATAGATGAATGGATGATGATGGAGGATAGATTGATGGATGAGGGTAGATGAATGGATGGAGGATGGATGGATGGATGACAGATAGATGGATGGATGTGAATGGATGGATGAAGGATGGATGGATGGGTGAGGGATGGATGGAGGATGGATAGATGGATGGGGGATGGATAGATGGATGGATGATGGAGGGAGGATATATGGAGGATGGAAGGATAGATGGATGAGGGGTGGATGGAGGATAGATGGATGGATGAGGGGAAGATGGAGGATGGATGGATGGATGAGGGGTATATGGATGGATGGATGGATGAGGGGGTAGAAGGCTAGATGGAGGATGGATGGATGAGAGATGGATGGATGGAGGATGGATAGATAGATGAGGGGTAGATGGATGGAGGATGGATAGATAGGTGAGGAATAGATGGATGGATGGAGAGGGAGGGAGAGAGGGATGGATGGATAGATAGATGAGGGGTAGATGGATGGATGGATGGTTGAGGCATGGAGGATGGATGGATGGATGAGGGATGGAGGATAGATGGATGGATTGATGGAGGATGGATGGATGGAGGATGGATGGATGATTGAGGAAGGACAAATGGATGATGGAGGGAGGATAGATGGAGGGTTGATGATGGAGGGTGGATGGATGGAGGAAGGATAGATGGAGGACAGAGGGGTCAGTCATGGGATGGACTAACCCTTCAATGCCTCAGATCCCTCATAAACAGGTCAGGGGTGCTGGTGACTCTCCAGGAAAGCATCTCTTGCTACATTGGGTTCTCACCGAAGGGGTATCAAGAGGTCTGTGTTCTGGTAGCTGTGTTACCCAGGGCAGGCATAGCCTTTGGAGACTTCCAGTTTCTTCACTGAAAGTCTAAGGACTGGGCTGGGAAGGTGGCTCAGTGGTAGAGTGGTTCCTAGCATGCATGAAGTCCTGAGTTTCATTCCTCAACACCACATACACAGAAAAAGCCAGAAGTGGTGCTGTGGTTCAAGTGGTAGAGCACTAGCCTTGAGCAAAAGAAGCCCAAGGACAGCACCCAAGCCCCGAGTTCAAGCTCCAGGACTGGCAAAAAAGGAGAAAAAAGGAAGTCTAAGGACTGGATTAGAGCTCAGGTCCTTTTTATGCTGAAGAAGCTTGAGCTTTCTACACATACTTTTTTTTTTTTAAACAAGAGGTATGTATAATTTCTTCAAATGGACAACGGATTTAGTGAGCAACTCTTTGGCAGGAAACAGAATGATGGAACCAGGCATGGGAGACTGACCCTGTAACACTAGCTACTTAGGAGGCTGAGATCTGAGGATCTCAATAAGAAGCCAGCCTGGGCAGGAAAGTTCATGAGACTCTTAACTACGTTTTTTGCCTTGAACAAAAAAGCCAAGTGAGATGGAGAGACCCAGAGTTAAAGCCCCGGTACTGGTATGGGCGGGGCGGGGGGGGGGCAGGGGAGGAGAGAGATCAACAAACAGCGCTGTGGTAAGCACAGACCGTGAGAGCCTGTGAGTCACTCTCGCGTTGACTATCTCCTGACTAGCAGGCTGGGCACCAACAGAGTCTCTAGGAAGCCTGTTACAAGTAAATTATTATTATTTTTTGCCATTTGTAACCTCACCTTACATTAACAAGTTGTGTATCATTGAATTTGCAGCTCTTGCTAATGTACTGATGTGGGATTTTTTTTCCTTTTAAAAAACGACCTAAATCTACAAGAAATACAACAGATTTTAAGTATACACGTTAGGAGTTTTTTTTTTTTTTGGAGTTTTTTGGTTGGTCTGGGCCTGGGCGCTGTCCCTCAGCTCTTCAGCTCAAGGCAAATGCTCTACCACTTGAGCCACAGCACCACTTCCTGCTTTCTGCTGGTTTATTGGAGATAAGAATCTCACGGACTTTCCTGCCCGAGCTGGCTTTGAACCGTGATCCTCAGATCTCAGCCTCCTGAGTAGCTAGGATGACAGGCGTGAGCCACTGGCGCCTGGAGTTTTAACGGATGAACACACCATGTAACCTAAACTCCAGAAAGTTCTCTGGGTCTTCCTGCTCATTCCATCGCTCCTCTGCACTGCTACAGGGCACTTGGCATGCTGCCTTTTCTGTCTCTGTGTCAGAACTCGCCATAACTAGAATCCTGTGAGTTCTTTTTCCCCATTCAGCAGGACTTTGGCCTTTATCTGTGTTCCTGTGTGTTTCAGGAGTTCATTTTTTAACATTTTTGCTGAGGGATGTTGAAGGGAATTTACCCCAGTTTGGTTCCCAACATGGTGGTGGCTGGCTTGCCTTTTCCCATGTTGGTAGCTGTGAGTGAAATGGTTCTAGAAGCTCTGGGACCAATGTTACGTGTACATGTGCTTTCATTAGTTTGGGGCAAAACCTGGGAGCTGAATTTCTCGGCCATCAGTGCATATTTAAATTTCTGTGAAACTGTCAGGAGAGTTTTTCAGAGATTATGTTTCCTCATAGATGTCACCTAGCCATGTCTGAGAGCTCTGGTGGCTGATGCCTGCTGTCTATGGTGTATGTGTGTGTGTGTACATGTGTGCATGTGTGTGCACATACACATGTGCCAATCCTGGTGCTTGAACTAAAGGCCTTGAACTCTCAATTGGCTTTTTTACTCAAAGCTGATGCTTTACTCCTTCAGCCATGCCTCCACTCCTGAATTTTTGGTGGTTGATTGGAGATAAGATCTTTTAAGATCTCAGCCTCCTGAGTAACTAGGATTACAGCTATGGCATGAGCTATTGGCACCTGACTATCTCAAGTAATTTCTCTTATGGTATATGATACTTTTTTTTCTTTTTCTTTTGGGTCCAGTCGCGGGGCCTGAACTTGGCCTGGGCGTTCTCCCTCAGCTCTTCAGCTCAAGGCTAGCACTCTACCACTTGAGCCATAGTGCCACTTCTGGCTTTTTTTTTCTGCTTATGTGGTGCTGAGGAATCGAACCCAGGGCCTCATGCATGCAAGGCAAGCGCTCTACCACTGAGCCACCTTCCCAGCCCCTGTGATACTTTTCAAGACGAAGGTCTGGGTATTTATCTGCTGAGAACTTTTCCACATGTTGTCCCTTTACTACAGCCTACGTTTTCATAGATAATGTGGGTAAAATTACCAGATTTGAGGTTTTTCAATTATGAGAGACCTGTCTTGCTGACTTGGCTGTGGAACTTGATTTTCCATAGTTGATGGCCTTTTCCCCAGTCGGCAGCCGCCTCTGACTCTTTTCTTCTAAGTTCACTCCGATACACAAATCCCTGGGGTCCAAACTCTCTTTGGGCTCATGTGAGTTTGCAGTGCCTCCGCGCTTTGTTGTGCTGAGAGTCCCCATTCACATGGAAACAGCAAAACTGTTTGAAGTCTTAGCAGCTGAACCTTGTTTAATGAATGCCCTCACTGTTCCAACTACTCAAAAGTTGAAAAAAAAGAGATGCCAGGAGCCGGTGCTCATGCTTATAATCCCAACCACTCAGGAGGCTGAGATCGGAGGACCAGTGCTAGAAGCCAGCCTGGGCAGCAGAGTCAGTGAGACTCTTATATACAGCTGATCAAAAGCAGCTGGAAGTAGAGGCGTGGCTCAGAGTGGTAGAACGCTGAACTTGAGTTACAGAGCTCAGAGACAGCAGCCAGGCTCTGAGTTCAAGCCCTAGGACTGGCACCAAAAAGAAAAGAGCAAGAGAATAAAACCGCATCATTTCCATACCCTTGGTGTTTAGTTTGTCTCGAAAGCATAGGTTTGGAAAGAAATTTTGAGCTGTTCTGAGGGATAGATTCCAGCATCTGCTCCGCTCACTGAGTGGGCAATCCCACGGAGCGGAGCTGCTTATGACGGGGGTGTCGAAGGCGGCGTGGAGGGTTGGACCTGGCGCTCGTGGGCGAGCGTGGACATGGACAGGAGCCCAAGTTCTTTCCCCACTCTCCGCTCTGCCTGGCAGTGTCTCCACGTCCACAGCTTGGAGCTGTCCCACTACACACCTGGGAAGGTCGCTCCAAGGTAGGGGGTGCGAGGGGGCGGTACTACAGGCGGGCTCTCCTGAGCTCATCCAGCAGTAGGGTTGTTTGCCACAGGGGGTGATGGTCAGTGAGAACGCGAAGGCTGAGTGTTGCCTTCGTGTTTGAAGAGGCAAAGATGGAATGCATCTTGGGATCCCAGCGAAAACCTCCTAGGTTCAGTCTTTCTAAAGACCAGGTGGCCCGCTCAGGGCCCTCCTCACCGTCCTCCCTCCCTGCAGGATGACAACTGGGGTGAGACCACCACGGCCATCACGGGCACCTCGGAACACAGCATCTCCCAGGAGGACATCGCCCGCATCGGCAAGGACCTGGAGGACAGCGTGGGGCTGGACTGCCGGCGCCACCTCAGCCTGGCCCTGGCTGCCCTCCTAGGCCTGCTGGTCTTCCTCACGCCTGTAGCCTTCCTTCTGCTGCCGCCCGCGCTATGGAGGGCAGAGCTGGAGCCCTGCGGCCCCATCTGTGAGGGGCTCTTCATCTCCATGGCCTTCAAGCTCCTTATCCTGCTTGTGGGCACCTGGGCGCTGTTCTTCCGCCGGCCGCGGGCCACCGTGCCCCGGCTCTTTGTCTTCCGCGCCCTGCTCCTGGTCCTAGTCTTCCTGTGCGTGGTCTCCTACTGGCTGTTCTTCGGGGTCCGCATCCTGGACCCGCGTGACCGGAGCTACCAGGGCATCGTGCAGTACGCAGTCTCCCTGGTGGACACGCTGCTCTTCATCCACTACCTGGCCATTGTCCTGCTGGAGCTGCGGCAGCTGCAGCCCGCGTTCACCCTGCAGGTGCTCCGCTCCTCCGACGGCGAGGCGCGCTTCTACAGCCTGGGCCACCTGAGGTATGGAGCGTCCTCGGGCAGACGGGGTCAACTGGTGACCCCCGCACGGCCGGCACCCACGGCACGCGGGAGCCAGCACTGCTGCTGCTGGAGGAGCATGTGTGCGGACATGTGTACATGTGGGTATGTGTGCATGTACATGTGTGCGTGTGTGTGCGGGCATGTAAACAGGTGTATGTGCATCCTGCATCCACCCATCACAGCACTCTGAACAAGATCAGGCAGGTGCCGACACTCAGCTACGTTCAGGTTTGGCTGCACCAAACCCGTTGGCATCCCCCAGTAGTGATACAGAAATGATGTGCATGGCACCGGTGGCTCATGCCTGTAATCCTAGCTACTCAGGAGGCTGAGATCTGAGGATCGCAGTTCCAGCCTAGGCAGGAAAGTCCGTGAGATACTTAGTTCCAGTGAACCACCAAAAACCCAGAGATGTGGCTCAAGTGGTAGAGTGCCAGCCTTGAGAGATGCTAAAGGACAGTGTCAAGGCCCTGAGTTTAAGTTTCAGCATTAGCACACACGTGCACACACCCACAGAGTTGAAATCTCTACTTCTGAAATGGAACTTACAGACCCAGACACCCCTCTAATCCTAGCTTCTCAGGACGTTGAGATCTGAGGACCAAGCCTGGGCAGAAAAGTCCATGAGACTGAATTCCAAATAGCTAGCAAAAAAAAAACAGAAATGGAGTTTTAGCTCAAGTGGTGGAGTGCCATCCTTGAGTGAAAAGGCTCAGGGCTGGTGCCTAGGCCCTGAGTGGAAGCCCCAGTACTGGCACCACAAGAACAAAATAGAATAAACAGAAATGGAGCTGTTCAGCTGGGCGCTGGTGGCTCACGCCTGTAATCCTAGCTACTCAGGAAGCTGAGATCTGAGGATCGCAGTTCAAAGCCAGCCCGGGCAAGAGAGACCGTGAGACTCCTATCTCCAATAAACCACCAGAAAACCGGAAATGGCGCTGTAGCTCAAGTGGTAGAGCGCTCGCCTTGAGCTGAAGAGCTGAGGGACAGCGCTCAAGCCCAGAGTTCAAGCCCCACGACCGACCAAAAAAAAAAAAAAGAAATGGAGCTGTTCATCAGGGCTGGTGCCCAGGGACCAGCCAAGCTGCAGGGCTGGGTTGGGCTTGGCACCAACCCCGGCACAGCACCAGCCCAGTTACCTGCTGGTCTTTGGGATAAATCTGGTTCAAGCTCAGCAGTAGCTGGGCCAGAAATTGAACTTCTAAGCCCTTCTGTGACGCATAGGCACTGGTGGGAAGGGGGGCAGGGTGGCGGGGAGCACCAGAGCAGCGTGTGGGGGCACCAGAGCAGTGGGCCCCAGACCCTCTGCTCCTCTTGCTGTATGCAGGCCCTGCTGCAGAGTGCCCATTGGGCCCGGGGGCCCCGGGTGGGGAGTTCTCTTGTTCCTGCATCAGAGGTGGTTTTATTGACCGCACTGAGCTATTTTTGAGTGAAGGAGAGCATGCCCTCTCTCTGGTCTTAGAGAAAACAAGGTTCTCAAGATAGCGCTCATAAAAGGCCCTTGCTGAGCCGCGCTCGGGCTGCCATTGAGTGCGGGGCTTATTTGAAAGCTTGCAGGAGTGTGAAAGGTCACTGCTGCGGGAGTGAGGCACGGTGAATACACAGAGATGCACCCGCCCACAAGGGTCATTGGGGATTGCACGTGGCCAGTCTTCACGGACGCTGCCTGGGTCAGAGCCCAGGGCCTGCTCAGGGCTCAGGGCAGGGCTTCTGAACGTCTGCAGGCCTGGCCTCTGCACAGCCGGCAGCTCCCCTCACACCCCACTGGGCCCCACTTTAATGGTTGTTTGCTAATTTTTCCACTGTCTCACCAAAGATTAGTGGTGTGGGTGAGGTGAGGAGGGGGGCAGGGAGGGGTCTTCACATCACCCAGGCCCGGCATAAGCTCCAAGTGCTGGAATTGCAGGTATGTAACAACTCAGGGCCTGGGCACTGTCCCCGAGCCTCTGTGCTCAAGGCTAGCGCTCTACCACTTGAGCCACAGCGTCATTTCCAGCTTTTTTTGTGTATGTGGTACTGAGGAATCGAACCCAGGGTTTCATGCATGTTAGGCAAGCACTCTACCACTGAGCCATATAACAAAGCCCCACAGAGAAAACTTTAACTGAACAATCACATTGTCTTACTTGTTTTTGGTTGGCGGGTCTTTATTAGGACCTAGGCGCTGTCCTTGAGCTTTTTCACTCAAGGCTGGTGCTCTACCACTTGGGCCACACCTCTACTTCTGGCCTTTTGGTGGTTCATTGAAGATACAAGTCTTATAGACTTTCCTGCTCAGGCTGGCTTTGAACCGTGATCCTCCGATCTCAGTCTCCTGAGTAGCTGGCATTATGGGCATGTGCCACCAGTGCCTAGCTACAGTCTTCCTGTGTGCCAGGCACCTTCTCAGGGCCGCAGTCGCTACAGTCCTGCCTGTGGTAAGGAGACTGAGGCCTCATGTGTGAAGTGCACGTGCACTATAAAGGCACACGCTATTTGCCATTTGTAATTGTGGGAGCCAGGCTTTGAGCCTTGAGCCAAAGATTGTTCCAGAACAATCTTAACCACCCACCATTGCCCTTGAATAGAGGGTTCACGTTCACGTTGTTGTTGTGGGAACACTTGCATGAGCTCGCCAGCGTGGCTTGAGTGCTCACTGTGTTCCAGGCTCACATGCTCCCGGAGCTCACTGTCCTCCCAGCTCACCGTGCTCCCGGAACTCACCGTGCTCCCAGAGCTGACTGTGCTCCTGGCTCACTGTGTTCCTGGCTAAATGTGCTCCAGGCTAAACGTGCTCCAGGCTCACCATGCTCCCAGAGCTGACTGTGCTCCTGGCTCACCGTGCTCCTGGCTCACTGTGCTCCAGGCTAAATGTGCTCCAGGCTCACCATGCTCCCAGAACTCACCGTGCTCCCAGATCACCGTGCTCCCGGAACTCACCTTGCTCCTGGAACTCACCATGCTCCCAGAGCTGACTATGCTCCTGGCTCACTGTGCTCCCGGAGCTCACTGTGCTCCCAGAGCTGACTATGCTCCTGGCTCACCATGCTCCTGGAGCTCACCGTGCTCCTAGAGCTGACTGTGCTCCTGGCTCACCGTGCTCCCGGAGCTCACTGTGCTCCCAGAGCTGACTGTGCTCCCAGAGCTGACTGTGCTCCTGGCTCACTATGCTCCTGGAGCTCACCGTGCTCCCAGAGCTGACTGTGCTCCCAGAGCTGACTGTGCTCCTGGCTCACCGTGCTCCCAGAGCTGACTGTGCTCCTGGCTCACTGTGCTCCCAGAGCTCACTGTGCTCCTGG